GCGACTCTGTATCTCTAGTCTTCAAATCTTTTTCTATTTTTTCAATGTTTTGTTTCAATGTTTTATTGTCTTTTTCAAGTTGAATTTTATCAGTTTCCAACTTCGTGAACTTTTTATTCAATTCTCGAATCTCGCGGCCGGAATCTCCAGAAGATGCCAGTAAACTCTGATATTTGTCTGTCATCTTCTCTAATTCTGAAAAATACAAATTATTGCCTTTTACCAACAAAAATACAAAGTATTGCCTTTTACCAACAAAAATACATCTTGAAATTGAGGTATTAACACTAAATTTCACCATTCTAATGAAAAATTAGTACACACTGTACCTCACTTGAAAATATAACATAATAATTATTGTGTTCCAGTAAATTTTGGTTTTAACTCTAAAAATAATTATATTAGATTAACAGTACTGTTTTTATAAAAAGTCTTGATCTTATTTTAATTAAAAATAAAAAAATTTAAAAACAGTCCCTTGGAAACTTCTATTATTTTTTAATACGTACTCAGAAGTCAGATTGTTACTCAGGATCACATTTTCTCTAAATAAAATTGCTTTACCTGAGTTAATGAGTTTTATTTCATCTTCTCTCTTCTTGAGAATCTCATCTTGTTTCTCCATTGTCTCCTCCTGTTCAGTGAGGGCATCTTTTAATGATTCAAGTACAGCTTCATTAGCTTGAGAATCTAGAAAAAATATTCAAAATATGTCACTGTTCTATTTGCCGAATATGTTGAACATTGACAAAAAATAATCTTAATTTAAGCTTGTGAATATCCCTGATTGGAAAACGCCTTTCTTTTATTGGGGACTGTTTTCAGTTTTCTTGCCCAGAACATAGTAAAATCAACATGTTTCCACTAATTTTGGTCATGTTTCATAAATTACAAGGAAGAGAGCCAAACTTGTTCTGGCTACTAATGGGTGAGAGTGGACACTGGGCCAACTCTCGGGAGCACTGGCACAGATGTCAGAATTGTTTCATACCTTGAAAATGATTCAAACCCACGTCACCTAATCGCCTAGCAGAAGACAATATAACTCACAACCCGTATAGGTGTGTCACTTGATGCTCTGGACCCACTGGTAATGGTTTGATGGATTACCTCCCTTTTAAATCACTTACCCTTCAGAGCAACTTCGAATTTTTCTTTTTCTCTCTCCA